TCTGTCTTTACAGCATCTCTTCGAGGAATGCAAGAAGAGTATCAGAAAAAAGCGCTGAGTGCTTTCCAGAGGTGATTTTCAGACTGTCCTACATTTCTCTCTCTCTCTCTCACACACTCTCACATACTGTGCACACTGATGAAACACACTGTTTCTCTCTCTCAGGGCACAGAGTCTGTCCCCCACTGATCACCTAGCTGTTTTCTACCTGGCGCTGCAGCTGGCTGTATCTCGACAGGTAGGAGAATCAACATCTGCTGCTTGCACACAGGTTGTGAGAATGAAAACATCTCACTCTCAGATGATGGTCTTCTCCCAGTTTGCTCTTAGATGATGCCTATAAGCATTTGCATGTGGCTAATTTCATCTGCTTCAAGCCACATCTAGTGTGGGTAATATGGTAATATGTATATTATCACAATATTTTTTCCATATCATTCTATATTGATATTTATCACAATATTTTTTTATACCATTTATGAGGAAGGACATGCACTCCTCATATTTGTTAGACCTTAGGAATGAATGTAATCAAAGATTGTTCTGGTTTACTACTAAATTCCACATATTAAGCTACCTTTTCATTTAGGGCCCCATTTTAATTATCCCTAAATTTTGTTTTCTTTTTTTCCTGAGTTCTGTTTTATGATTTCATACCAAAAATGATGTCTAATGAAATGAATTCTAATAAAAAAAATGTTTTTAATGTAATCAAATTAAAATATAACAATCGAATACAAATATAACAATTAATTTAAAGCAAAACAGAACAGAACTTGTATATTGTATGAATTAAAACCCGGATGAAAAAAATATCTTGGTTGTATCAAATTAATTAATTATCAATAAATATTTGTTCAAGAAATATCAATATTGATTTATCACCCAACCCTAGCCACATCTCACTCTTCTTACTATGGGAACTTTATTTTGCTTTTATGTCCCTCTCAGTCTGTCTCTCTCCCCAGATGTCAGTCTGTTATTTTTCCTTTTCATTTCTCTCTCGGTCTGTTTAAACAATCAGCTAATATAAGCATCTCATGTGTGTGTGTGTGTGTGTGTGTGTGTGTGTGT